GGAGAGGCTCTGGAGAAGTCCTGGAGGCGAGCGTGGGAGGAGGTGACAAGGGAGCTAGAGAGCTGGATGTCTTGGGAGGTGTGGAGCAGGTGATTAGGATGATATCTGTGGATGAGGTTGGCGATGTAGCTAGGGGCAGTATTGTAGCTTTGTACGTTGTGCTTAGTATTTAGAATTTTATACGTTGGGTTAGTGGAAGCCAGTGAAGGGATTGGCAGAGAGGGGCAGCAGTCGCTGATCGGTTGGTAAGGTGTATGAGTCTAGCAGTAACATTCATAATAGACTGAAGGGGGATAGCCTGTGTAACGGTAGACCAGTGAGGAGGGAGTTGCAGTAATCAAGGCGGGATAAAACCAAGGCGTGGATAAGTTGTTTTGTGGTGTTGTTAGTCAGAAAGGGGCGGATTTTGGAAATGTTCCGGAGGTTGAGGAGGTGTTTAGGCCCAGTGTATGGGGCTCTGCTGTTTAGCTGTGGGCGGAGGGCAAAGGTGCCTGCTGTGGGCATCCAGTCATACTCTTTGAGAGTCTTAGAGCTGCTGCAGCTGGACAGGGCTGGATGGTGCCCCTGGTGGTAGAAATGTTTAGAGCAGAATGTGCCTAGGGAAGAATGCATTCTGGGTATTCATATCTGGGGGCATATTGCCCTAAACAGAAGTACTATTAGGTGCACCATGGCAACTGTGTAGAACAGAGCCTTGGGGGCAAGTTGCACATGCTGTTTGGTGTGTATTGCTAGAGAGTTTTTTTTACCTTGGGAGAGTGCCAATCAGCGCTGTCAAGACAGAGGGTCAGGCATCCTGCAGCCTCATAGGACAATCAGGTGAGAATGAAAACTTCTCCTACAAGCTTTAACCTGTGCTCTTCTCGACACTGATAGAAGTCACAAGACTGCTCTAACTGCTGATGAGAAAAGTTTATTTAGCAGTTTATGTTTACTAAAATAATTGCATTTCCATGTTCTGTGTACTGTGGGAGACCAGATATAGTGAATGCAGGGTCCGGGGAGACCGGATATAGTGAATGCAGGGTCCAGGGAGAGCGGATATAGTGAATGCAGGGTCCGGGGAGAGCGGATATAGTGAATGCAGAGTCCGGGGAGAGCGGATATAGTGAATGCAGGGTCCGGGGAGACCGTATTTAGTGAATGCAGGGTCCGGGGAGAGCAGATATAGTGAATGCAGGGTCCGGGGAGAGCTGATATAGTGAATGCAGAGTCTGGGGAGACCAGGTATAGTGAATGCAGGGTCTGGGGAGACCAGGTATAGTGAATGCAGGGTCCGGGGAAACCGGATATAGTGAATGCAGGGTCCGGGGAGACCGGATATAGTGAATGCAGGGTCCGGGGAGAGCGGATATAGTGAATGCAGAGTCCGGGGAGAGCGGATATAGTGAATGCAGGGTCCGGGGAGACCGTATTTAGTGAATGCAGGGTCCGGGGAGAGCAGATATAGTGAATGCAGGGTCCGGGGAGAGCTGATATAGTGAATGCAGAGTCTGGGGAGACCAGGTATAGTGAATGCAGGGTCTGGGGAGACCAGGTATAGTGAATGCAGGGTCCGGGGTTTAGGAACCCTTTAACAACTAGCCGCCCAGACTATAGCCATTTGGCCGGCCGCAAAAATGGTTTAGTTTTCCTCCCGCACGTGCGCATTTTGCGCGGTTGCAGTGCCGCGCAGCGGAGCGATCTGTCACCGGCCGTGTACTTCGGACACGGCCGATGACAGATCTGAGTACCAGCCCCCGTTGCCATGTGACCCGCTGTGACCAATCACAGCAGGTCACATGACAGTTGTATACAATGGATGGCTTCATTCATGCCATCCATTGTATACTAGTGCCTAGCTTTGAATGGTCACAGCAGGTCAAATGCACATGTCAAATGGCCAAATCACAGCTAAGCACAAAAAAAAAAAAAAAAAAACCCTGAATGAATCGATGTCATTCAGGTAAATGCTTGCTTATAGCAAAGTAATTCTTTGCTATAAGCAAATTGTGTAAAAAAAAAAAAAAATACTGATCACTTCCCCAAAGTAGTACAATGTTACTATGGTAACATTGTACTACTTTGGTCATAGTAAAATATGAAAAAAAACTTTAAAAAAATTAAAAAAAATGTAATAAAAAATTTAAAATAAAAAAAAAATTTAAAAAAAATATATTTTTTTTTTCATACTGTCACCAGTCAGTGTCCCTGATCACCGCCATGCCAGTTATATGATGACGCTGTACTGCACTGGTGACAGAATGTAAAAAAAAAAATAGTGAAAATAATTTTTTTAATTTTTTCATTTTACGAAAAATTATGACAAAAAAAAATACAACTTCAAAAAACTCGCCATGCCTCTTATGAAGTACGTCGGACTGTCTACTCTGCAATAAGGGGTCATTTGGGGGATATCTGTACTGTTCTGACATTTTTGGACCTCAAGAAATTAGATTGGCTGCCAGTACTTCAGGATTGATCAATATTCAGATCTATACCATAGTTTGTGAACTCTATAACTTTCCTACAAACTAAAAAATACATCATAATTTGGGTTATTTTCACCAAAGACATGTAGTAGAATACATCTCGACCTAAATTTATGAAGAACAATTATTTATTTATAAACTTTTATAACAGAAACAAAGAAAAAAAAACGTGTTTTTTTTCAAAATTTTTGGCCTTTTGTTGTTAATTTAGCAAAAAATAAAAACCCCAGCGGTGATTAAATACCACCAAAAGAAAGCTCTAGTTGTGTGAAGAAAATGATAAAATCTTAGTTTGGGTACAATGTTGTATGACCGCGCAATTGTCATTCAAAGTGTGAGAGCGCTGAAACCTGAAAAATGGCCTGGGCAGGAAGGTGTAAAATTGCCCGATATTGAAATGGTTAAAACTCAACTCTGAGAAATTGTAAAATTCCCCCTTTCAAAAGTTAACTGTTCATTTTGTTTAGCGCAGAGTAAAAGCACTTTTTACTTACCTGATCCTTCGCTCCCTTGGCAGATGGTGCTCCCTCATGCTCTGGAGGTTGACTGTCCCTTAGCACCAACATGTCCAATGCGGGGCTATGGATTGGACCTTGCATTGGTCTTGAAGACATAAGAACCCTAGATCGCAGGAGCAGGAGGGAGAAGATGCTGCAAGGACTGGTCTAGCTGTGGGGAGGAGTGGAGGATTGGATAAGTCAACCTACTTTATATTGTTCTCTTACACCTACATAAGCAATTAACCTTTGCAGGAATGGCCCCATTGTATGGGATTTATTTGTTAGCTGTCGTTAAGCTGGCCATGTACACATTTTGTTTCATTCATCCAGCGAGCTAAACGAAGAAATCTACCAAATTCCTTTAATTTAGTGCAGATGGACAAAACTCCCATTGTGGTTGTAGTATTATGACAGCCAGCGCCGCTAGCTGTCAAATACCCGACGTAATTGGATGCACACACTGTCCAGCTGACAGTTCTCTGCTTAGTGCCCTCAATTTTTAGATCAAAGAATGTCGACCGGGAGGGTGGTAACCAGAGGCGGACTGACAACTCATGGGGCCCCCGGGCAATAGGGGATCATGGGGCCCCTGTGTCCTTGCCCAAACTCAAAAAAGCCTATGAAAAAGGTACCAGGGGCATCTCATGGGGCCCCCTACTGACCCCGGGCCCTCGGGCAGTGCCCGAGTTTCCAAATGGTCAGTCCGCCCCTGGACCGGGTTCATATATGTGCAGGGCTGGTTTCAGTGCGATTTTTAAAAAAAGTGTGTGACCTCTATAAAGAACACATGTATGCCCCTGGTCAGTGTGTAGACATGCCTTCCACTCAACACGTGACCAGGTGTATCAACACATATGACCACATGTGGCAGGCATGGTGCAACGGCACAATGGTGAAGGTAAGTGGGGAAACACAGGCAATCTCTTACATGGGGGGAGGATCAGAGTTCTCCAGGAGATGGGGGGAGGATCAGAGTTCTCCAGGAGATGGGGGGGAGGATCAGAGTTCTCCAGGAGATGGGGAGAGGATCAGAGTTCTCCAGGAGATGGGGGGAGGATCAGAGTTCTCCAGGAGATGGGGGGAGGATCAGAGTTCTTCAGGAGATGGGGGGAGGATCAGAGTTCTCCAGGAGATGGGGGGAGGATCAGAGTTCTTCAGGAGATGGGGGGGGGATCAGAGTTCTCCAGGAGATGGGGGGGAGGATCAGAGTTCTCCAGGAGATGGGGGGAGGATCAGAGTTCTCCAGGAGATGGGGGGAGGATACGAGTTCTTCAGGAGATGGGGGGAGGATCAGAGTTCTCCAGGAGATGGAGGGAGGATCAGAGTTCTTCAGGAGATGGGGGGAGGATCAGAGTTCTCCAGGGGATGGGGGGAGGATCAGAGTTCTCCAGGAGATGGGGGGAGGAACAGAGTTCTCCAGGAGATGAGGGGAGGATTAGAGTTCTCCAGGAGATGGGGGGAGGATCAGAGTTCTCCAGGGGATGGGGGGAGGATTAGAGTTCTCCAGGAGATGGGGGGAGGATCAGAGTTCTCCAGGAGATGGGGGAGGATCAGAGTTCTCCAGGAGATGGGGGGAGGATCAGAGTTCTCCAGGAGATGGGGGGAGGATACGAGTTCTTCAGGAGATGGGGGGAGGATACGAGTTCTTCAGGGGATGGGGGGAGGATCAGAGTTCTCCAGGGGATGGGGGGAGGATCAGAGTTCTCCAGGAGATGGGGGGAGGAACAGAGTTCTCCAGGAGATGAGGGGAGGATTAGAGTTCTCCAGGAGATGGGGGGAGGATCAGAGTTCTCCAGGGGATGGGGGAGGATTAGAGTTCTCCAGGAGATGGGGGGAGGATCAGAGTTCTCCAGGAGATGGGGGAGGATCAGAGTTCTCCAGGAGATGGGGGGAGGATCAGAGTTCTCCAGGAGATATTTGAGGACAAATAGACTGGAACAAACATGGAAACATTTATGTGGACAATCTGATCATTTGGAAAAATAAGAAACCACTTCACTGCTGAATGACTCCTTAAGTTTAATGGAAATTAACAAATCCCCCATTGGGGTGATGTCATGTTATTTACAAACTTTATCAATCTCACAAATCCATAAATAAAAAAAAAAAATAAAACAGAGACAACGATTTCTAGCACATAGTGAACGTCTTCCAGAAGAAGTTTTTTGCAGGGTGCTTTCCGTTCCCGCAGAGACAGACGTGGGAATTTCACAACTGGCGCCATTTTGGGCTCAGGAGGATCAGGAACATTTCTTTCTACCTCCACTAGATTACTTTCCCTGCTGTCTGACCATCCTGAGAGCAGCTTCAGGAGGAGATCCTCTTGTATTGCATTTAGATCCTAAAAAGACAAACAAGTCAAGATTCAGAGACACTGAAAATGTCTTCAACAACAGCTCCTGGATGTCTCTCGTCAGGTTGGCCTTCATGTGTGTTTGTGTCCAATGGTTATACTATAAAAAGTACACCATATGGCCTAGCACACACATGTGCGCTACCACAAGTACTGCGCATGCACACAGAACAGTGTAAACCTAGGAGGGGATTTACTAAAACTGAAGCACTCAGAATCTGGTGCAGCTCTGCATGGGAGCCAGTCAACCTCTGGACTTCAGCTTGTTCAGTTAAACTTTGACTATAAAACCTGGAAGCTGATTGGTTTCTATGCAGAGCTGCACCAGATTCTGTGTGCTCCAGTTTTAGTAAATCTCCCCATAGTCCCAGTTTTTGTAAGGACTTGTTGACACTCCTGTTGGCCCTGTGAAGTGGATTGCTCTTCAAACAGTGTTTGACAGCTGGTGAGGGCGCATTATGGCGCCTCTTTGGTGTCTTACCTGCCAAAAGCTCACACCACTGACTGTTATGGTCTGATTTCATTGTGGGGCAATGGTACAGCCTTTTAGAGTTACAACAAGCAGTATGCAGGCAAAAGGGCAGCACAGTGACTAAATGGTAGCACTTCTGCCTGCCAGTACTAGGGTCATTGGTTCCAATCCCAACAATGGCACCACCTGCCTGGAGTTTGCATACTCTCCCTGTGCCTGAGTGGGTTTCCTCGGGGTACTCTGGTTTCCTCCCCACACTCCAAAGACATGCTGGTAGGTTAATTGTATCCTGTCTTCACTTCCCCTTCAAATGTTTTTTCCCAACCTTTTAACTGACAGTTTTGCTGGACATGCAAAAGACATGCTGGTAGGGTCATTGGCTCCTGTCTAAATTGTCCCTAGTATGTGTATGTATGAATGTGAGTTAGGGACCTTAGATTGTACGCCCCTTGAGGGTTAGGGACTGATGTGAATGTTCCATATATATATATATAAACATATACAGCTGTGTTCTAAATAATAGCAGTCAGACATCACTAACCTGATCAATCACTGTTTTTGGTAGAAATGATATTTCTACATGGCAAATAATTTACTAGCCGGTGTAGTAGAGTAATAGAAATCTAACAGACCCAACAGTCATGGCATGCATGCTGCTGATTCTGTGTCATTGAATCACTAATTGAAAGGGGCGTGTTCAAAATAATAGCAGTGTGGAGTTCTATTAGTGAGGTCATTCATTCTTTGAAAAACAGGTGGCAATTATTGCCCTTATTTAACCACTTGCCTACCGGGCACTTATACCCCCTTCCTTACCAGGCCAATTTTCAGCTTTCAGCGCTGCCGCACTTTGATTGACAATTGCGTGGTCATGCAACATTGTACCCATATGAAATTTTGATCATTTTTTTCTTACAAATAGAGCTTTCTTTTGGTGGTATTTAATCGCCACTGGGCGCTTTACTTTTTGCGCTATAAATTAAAAAAGTGCAAAAAATTTGAAAAAAAAAAAAAAGTTTATTTGTTTCTTTTATAAAATTTTTCAAACAGGTATTTTTTCTCCTTCACTGATTTGCGTTGATGAGGCGGCACTGATGGGCACTGATAGGCGGCACTGATGGGCACTGATAGGCAGCACTAAAGGGCACTGATAGGCAGTACTAATGAGGTGGCACGGATAGGCGGCACTGATAGACAGCACTAATTAGGGGTCACGGATAGGCGGCACTGATATGCAGCACTGATAGGCGGCACTGATAGGTGACACTGATGATGGGTACTGATAGACGGCACTGACTGGCATCACTTCTGGGCACTGACTGGCGGCACTGACTGGCACAACCCCTGGGCACTGACTGGTGGCACTGACTGGCAGCACTGCTGGGCTGCACTGGTGGGTGGCACTGGTGGGCAGCACTGGTGGGTGGGCACAGGTGGGTGGCACTGGTGGGCACAGGTGGGTGGCACTGGTGGGCACAGGTGGGTGGGCAAAGGTGGGTGGCACTGCTGGGCACATGTAGGTGGCACTTCTGGGCACAGGTAGGTGGCACTGCAGAGTGGCACAGGTGGGTGCACTGCTGGGCACAGGTGGGGGCACTGCTGGGCACAGGTGGGGGCACTGCTGGGAACGGGGTGGGCGGGGCTAGTGGGCGCACTGCTGGGCGGAACTTGCGGGTGTCACTGCTGGGCACCGATCATCAGTGCCCTGATGATCGGTGCCGATCCCCGCTCTGACAACTGCCGGTTCTCGGCAGTACTTTCCTCACGATCTGACAGCGTGAGGAAAGTGCAGCCGAGAACCAGCACTTGCCTTTCCCTGTGATCAGCGTGTCATTGGACACCGCTGATCACGTGGTAAAAGGCTGGTGGGATCGGCCTTTCACCACATCACGTGATCAGCTGTGTCCGTAGGACACAGCGATCACGGAGATCGCCGGGTGCGCTCCCCCTGGGGCGCGCAGGAGAGCGCGTTCTGGAGAGGACGTCATATGACGTCCACTCAGAACTGGCCGGCCGCGGTGAAGCCGTCATTCGGCTATGCGCGGTCGGCAAGAGGTTAAGGAAGGAAGGCAGCAAATGTTGTACATGCTGGTTACAGTGCATTTCTCTCTGAAATTCTGAGGAAAATGGGGTCGTTCCAGACATTGTTCAGAAGAACAGCGTACCTTGATTAAAAGTTGATCGGAGAGGGGAAAACATATAAAGAAGTGCAGAAAATGATCGGCTGCTCAGCTAAAATGATCGCAAATGCTTTAAAATGGCAACCAAAACCTGAAAGATGTGGAAGAATGCGAAAAACTACCATTGGAATGGATAGAAGAATAGCCAAAATGGCGCGGACTCAGCCAACAATCAGCTCCAGGAAGATGAAAGAAGGTGTAAAGTTCCCTGTGAGTACATGAGAAATGGTGCAACATTTTGTGGACTGATGAAAGTAAGATTGTTCTTTTTGGGTCTAGTGGCCGGAGACAGTTTGTCAGACGACCCCCAAACACTGAATTCAAGCCACAGTACACTGTGAAGACCGTGAAGCATGACGGTGCAAGCATCATGATATGGGGATGTTTCTCATACTACGGTGTTGGGCCTATTTATCGCATACCAGGGATCATGGATCAGTTTGAATACATCAGAATACTTGAAGAGGTCATGCTGCCTTATGCTGAAGAGGAAATGCCCTTGAAATGGGTGTTCCAACAAGACAACGACCCCAAACACACCAGTAAACGTGCAACATCTTGGTTCCAGACCAACAAGATTGATGTTATGGAGTGGCCAGCCCGATCCCCGGATCTTAATCCAATAGAAAACTTGTGGGGGTGACATCAAAAATGCCGTTTCTGAGGCAAAACCAAGAAATAGAGAAGAACTGTGGAATGTCGTCCAATCATCCTGGGCTGGAATACCTGATCACAGGGGCCAGAAGTTGGGTGACTCCATGCAACACAGATGTACAGCAGTTCTCACAAACAGTGCGACTACAACCAAATATTCATTAAGTGATTCAAAGGAAAGCAAAATCTTCAAACATTTTTCAGTTTATATAGTGAATGTTTGAGTTTGTAAAGAAGAATACAAACACTGCGATTTTTTTGAACCGTCTAATATTCACTTTTCTTCAATTTTTTTAGAGAAACAACACAAATTTGATTTTGTTTTCTTCATGTTTTGATTAGGAATAGAATGTGTAGTGTTCCCAATGCATTTGTGTGGATGGAAATAAAAGCTATTAGAAGGATTGTGAGCTTTATTCACTTTTTTCAACACACTGCTATTATTTTGAATACAACTGTATATGTAAAGTGCTGCGTAAATTAACAGTGCTATATAAGGACCTCTAATAAATAATGCCTGAAAGTCCACAACACCATGCTGTAATGCAGGAGTCTCCAAACGTTTGCAACAAAGGGCCAGTTTACTGCCCTCCAAACTTATTCCAGACTGTGGCCAGTGGGAGGAGAAAATACCCGGTGGGGAAAAAACAATGCTATAGGCTTGGTGGTCCGTGGGAGAACAAAAAAAATGACATTGGTGTCATTGGAAGAAATGGATCCCCTATCTCTGGTGTTAATGGGAGTAATAGTATCCCATCATTGGTGTCTGTGAGAGTAATAGTGCCCCATCATAGGTGTCAGTGGTAGTAATAGTGCCCCATCATAGGTGTCAGTGGTAGTAATGGTGCCCCATCATTGGTGTCAATGGGAGGAATAGTGCCCCATCATTGGTGTCAGTGGGAGGAATAGTGCCCCATCATTGGTGTCAGTGGGAGGAATAGTGCCCCATTATTGGTGTCAGTGGGAGGAATAGTGCCCCAAGGGCCAGATAAAGGCAAGCAAAGGGCCACATCCATCCCTCAGGCCAAAATTTGGAGACCGCTGCTAAAATGGAATGCCTGTGGTTGTGGCATTGCCCCATTCACTTGAAAGAGTGGTAATGCCCATCACATGCAACAGTGGGCATCATTTTGTTGCAGTATACCCTTGTGCAGCTCAACTCTGCATTTTTACCTCCCCCAACCCCAAGTGTAAACCAGGCCTGACACTAAACCCTAACACTCCAGCCAAAACGTCAGACCTCAGGTGACCTCTGAACCCTGACACTCCAGCCAAAACATCACGCCTCAGGTGACCTCTGATCCCTAACACTCCAGCCAAACATCAGACCTCAGGTGACCTCTGAAAGCTAACACTCCAGCCAAAATATCAAACCTCAGGTGACCTCTGAACCCTGACACTCCAGCCAAAACGTCAGGCCTCAGGTGACCTCTGAACTCTGACACTCCAGCCAAAACATCAGACCTCAGGTGACCACTGAAAGCTAACACTCCAGCCAAAACATCAGACCTCAGGTGACCTCTGAACCCTGACACTCCAGCCAAAACGTCAGCCTCAGGTGACCTATGAAAGCTAACACTCCAGCCAAAACATCAGACCTCAGGTGACCTCTGAACCCTGACACTCCAGCCAAAACGTCAGGCCTCAGGTGACCTCTGAACTCTGACACTCCAGCCAAAACA